TCCAAAATCAGGTTTAACCAAGATACTTCCTCGAGGCCAAACAGTTGCAGTGCTCTCTTACAAGCAATATCCTATGGAATGCAAGAGCACCTAATGCACAAGCACTTTGCGTTTTGTTGTAACAAGAAAGGCAGCAACTAACACTCTACAGTTATGAATGTGATACCCATAATGAAAGATGCCCTCCACAGTGTTGTTCTTGCATACATAAACCATAGGGCAACTGATATGACAGGGCAGAAGTGCAGTGAGACGTCCTGCAAACTGAAAGCTTTTGTCATTACATTTTCATGGACATCAAGGCAGCTGAATGAGTTCTTAGGTGATATTTACATTATAATTTAACAAGGTGCTCTTCTATAAAACCACAGCTGACATTCAGCATGTATTATTAGTGGTGACTGTCAATTCAATGTCCTTACTAGGAAGCAAAACTGGTTTAGTTTAAAGAACCCAGTGTAGTGAATACAAAGCCACATTTACACTTTACAGCCTGTTGGACAACCAGTGCAGTGGCAAAATCTAAGTTTTGTCCATGTCTAGTTTCATGCACTTAGCGCTTCACATCCTCTGGAAGCATAAATATTTGAGGACAGGTAATGAGACTTCAAATCACTATGCTATACTTTTATGAAGCCGTTATTCTCATCAAGTCATATAGTGTTGACTGCTGCAGTGCAGATGCTGAAAGCACAATGTCAGGATTGCCACTGATAAAGTCTCAGCAGTGTCGCCATGCTTAGGTGGCCTCTTCGGCTGGAGCTCGCCTCTGTCGTGCAGATTTTGCTCTTGTCTTCTGTGGAGTCAGTGGGGATTCCGACTCTGCCGCCGACTCCGTGGACTCACTTTCTCCTTGCAGTGAGGCACTATCGCAGACAAGTTCTCGGAGGAACTTGAACTTGGACAAGAAGAGATGCCAGACCACATACCAGCCTGAAAGAAAAAAAAAAAAAGTATAAAGGCATTAAGGAACAGTTCTGTAGCTAAAAATGGCAAAAAAACGAAAAGTTAAAGTCAATGTCTGGGCAGACAAAAAGACAAAAACTATCCTTGCAGTTGGGCTACCTCCGCACTGCAAGGGTTAAGGGCTTGTTTTTATATAGGGACTGGAGTGAAGCAAATTTACTTACCTGAACCCCAATGGAGAGCAGCTGGTGCTCACCTCTTCTCCCCCTCCACTCCAGCTGTTGACTGTCTTCAGTGTCCTCATTTCTAATGCAGGTCTATGGAACCTGCATTAGACAAGAGGACGCCAAGGGACAATCCACAGCCAGAGTGGAGGGGGGTAGAGGGGAGCACCATCTGCTCTGCACAGGGTTTAGCTAAGTAAATAATGTCAGTGATTCTCAGACTGCTGCAGCCCGGGGGAGAAATAGCTGCAGGGACCAGTTTAGCAGCCCTGAGGGAGCCAGAAGAGTGGGGATTAGGTAAATAAATGCTTCAATTCAGCCACTAGACAAAAACGGTAGACACAGGATAACCAATTTATTTTCTTGAGGGGCCACATGAGAAACTAGGACTGCTGTGGAGGGCCGTATTAATTAACACATGGTACCGTGCAACGCACTGACCGCGCATTACAGTGCGGCAGGTGTATTGCCATTAATTTGAATGGCACCCCAAAAGCACCTCCTGGCCACAAAGCAATCGACGGTGATGCAACATCGTAGGTAAGAATGGACCCTGAATGAAACAGATTTAATTTAAATATATTATTTTTTTTTTTTACAGGCCATGGGCGGTAGGTGCAGGGTAGGATGGACGAGGAGTACATTTGTAATTCTGGGGGTGGACCGCCGGGTGGTCCTAGCAACCAATTACTGCAATGGAGGAATACCATTGGTTGCCAGCGGTTCTAGCAACCAAGTAATGAAAAGAAACGTGATCCGGAAATGG